TCTAACATCTTAAGTTGCCAATCCTCTTTATCTGAGACCTCGCTCATTTTCCATTTTTTGGCTAACAAAACATAGGCTGCTCTTGTTGCATACATAAACAAGATTTTCTGACACCTAGGAATTTCTGTCTGGGTTATTCCTAATAAAAAGGACTCTGGTCTTTTGGGGAAGGTAATTTTAAACATTTTTTCAACTTGTTATAAATCATTTCCCAATATTCTTTTACCTTTTTACATTTCCACCACGTATGAAAAATGGTCCCCTCCTTTTCTTTACATTTCCAACACATATCTGATCGTACTTTATACATCTTAGCCAACCTACTCGGAGTTGGGTAGCACCTATGAATCATCATTTTCAGATAGTTCTCTTTCAATGTGTAACATGCAGTAAATTTCAAATCTCTTTTCCAGAGTTTCAAATCCATATTGTGTCCTATATCCATTGCCCAGTGGGTCACTGAAGCTTTCACCAGTCCGTCTTTTGTTTCCCATTGCAATAGAAAGTTATACATTCTCGACAAGAGTTTATCCTTGTTTTGTAATAGTTCTTTTTTAAATTGTGAGCTTTGGTCCAAAAACCCAAAAACGCTGGTAGCGTTAAGATAAATTCAACAGTGTAATTAATGTTTGAATGGTGTAAAAATGGAAAATTGATTTGAATGGTTATAGTAAAATATGCAGGAATGGAAGATATGTAAAACGAACCATGGAAAGAGAAGAGGGGAAGTCATTGGATATCAATAAGTTTGTAAAATGTGTATTTCGAATTGTAAAAATTGAAAAAAAATATATATAAAAAGACTAACACAACAATGGTGAGGGTAATCTGCGAAGATGTGAACTTATCCCATATTGCTATGTTGAGAGGACTTTATGATGAATTTTTTTCTGCCCTTTTAATTTCAGGCTGATATACTGAAGCTGTGCTGACAATTCGAAGGAAATCTTCAATAACATTGCAGGCCATCTGCCAGCAGCAGTTGCCCAGTACTGCTCACTGAATGATGCACCCTTTCTCTTTCTGCTTTCACTGATCAAGCCCTATCCTTCCTTTAGAGTATATTCATTATGCTGTACAAAACCAATGAGAAACCTCTTTATAATATTCCTGAATAATTCAAGCTTCAAGTTTCATTAAAATTCCTTATCTTGTTGCATTCAGGTAAATTACAAACGATCTCTGTGTGTTTTCCAGCAGTTACAGCAGCAATTTGGGTCTCTGTAACATGTAGTGCTGTATGGCTGATAATACTTTTTAAGGAGTTTCACTTTCAATCTTGCAAGTAACTGAGGCAATACAACGGCTTATCCACTACAAGTAATTCAATATGGAAAAAGACGGTAATTGGTGTGAGTCTGGGTAACTCTGCCAGTTCCAGGAGCATGGGGAGGTAACAAAGGTGAATTCTGACCACTGTCCCTTCACCATCTTGGCTCTGTCTTAAGTCTGCAATACGTGAAAGTAAACTTCAGTTCAAACCTTGTAAAATACAGAAATTGTCTGCATGAACATACAGAATCAACGCATTCAATTTAATTTGAGAAATGATTTGGAACATGCATGGAAATTGCATTTGTGGTGACAACTGCAGGTGCAGGTTTTTTCATGTTTGTTTATTTTTATTTGACCAATTGTGGCTTCCCATATGTACCCATAATGAAGAACCTGCATGTCTTGACCACCACCCATGAATGCTGGTTTGCAAACAGCAGAAGCAGCCAAAAAAACCAACGCATGAAAATCAACTGCAAAAAAACTACAGTGAAAATTCTACATGTTTAAATAATGTAGTTATTTTACAGGTTTAATTAACATAGTTATGATAAAAATAATCGCATTGAAAGAAAAATAATATCATGGAAAAATACTGTAAAAATCAGTGCCTCATATAAATATTAGTAGTAACTTTTTTTCGACTCTCATCTGATGGACCAGAATGGACTCAATATCAGACCCTGAAGGTGTTTCTAAAGCACAGGAGCAGCAAAGGTCTTTTTTTCCAGCCAGTTGGCATCCCCAGCTGGGGGGAAAGGGATGCAGGGGTGAAAGCCTTCTGTTTGTGCCTCAGCATGGGGGAAAGTGGCAAAGTGGGGTGGGGTTAGATAGAAAGCTGTTGGGCAGAATGATCCCTACTGTCTCAATTTCCCTATTGTGCCAAAAGGTGGAAGGCGATTGAAAGTCAATCAGTTTATTTCTGCATATCAATGATAGCACTTGTGATAGAATCCATTCCACAATCATCATCATCATCAGCATCATCATTTATTATTTATACCCCGCCCATGTGGCTGGGTTTCCCCAGCGACTCTGGGCAGCTTCCAACAGAATATTAAAATACAATAGTCGATTAAACATTAAAAGCTTCTCTAAACAGGGCTGTCTTCTAAAAGTCTGGTAGTTGTTTTTCTCTTTGACATCTGGTGGGAGGGCGTTCCATAGGGCGGGTGCCACTACCGAAAAGGCCCTCTGCCTGGTTCCCTGCACCTTGGCTTCTCGCAGCGAGGGAACCGCCAGAAGGCCCTCAGTGCTGGACCTCAGTGTCCGGGCTGAATGATGGGGGTGGAGACGCTCCTTCAGGTATACTGGACCGAGGCTGTTTAGGGCTTTAAAGGCCAGCACCAACACTTTGAATTGTGCTCAGAAACGTACAGGGAGCCAGTGTAGGTCTTTCAAGACCGGTGTTATGTGGTCTTGGCGGCCGCTCCCAGTCACCAGTCTAGCTGCTGCATTCTGGATTAGTTGTAGTTTCCAGGTCACCTTCAAAGGTAGCCCCACGTAGAGCGCATTGCAGTAGTCCAAGCGAGAGATAATATGCATCACTCTTGGTGAGACAGTCCACGGGCAGGTAGTGTCTCAGCCTGCGTACCAGATAGAGCTGATAAAGAGCTGCCCTGGACACATATCCAATGTTCCAATGTATCCAGAGCAGCTGTAGGGCAATCTAGTGATAGAGACAGTAATTTTGGCTTGATGACTACATGTGAACCTGAAATGAAACAAAAGCCATCAGTATTATGAAGGGGAACCAATATCCTAACATGGCTGGTTTCAGGTCAACAGGCAGTTGCTGGAACCAAAGGCAAGTTTGTCAACAATGCCATCATATTCACTTCGCGTGGGGCATAATTGCTCATGAGTTCTGGGGCCCCACTTAAAGTGGGAAACAAGAACAAAAAATGTGTGGCTTGCTTTATTGTGATATTCGCTTTATTGCTGTGGTCTAGAACTGAACCCACAAGATCTCTGGGGTATTGTCGCAGACTGGCTGGACACGGGAATGGTGGGAGGCACCAGCTGGGGAACCCCCAAGGGAAGAAAGCTCAGAGCCTGGGCATTGGTGGTGGGATGATGATGAGTGGTCAGAGGGAGAAGAGAGAGCAGACTGGGAGGAGGAGGTGTTGGCAGAGGCGGAGGTAGCTGCTCCGGCACCCAGCTGTGCACCTGGGGGTGGGGCTAGCTGGCTGTGGGGGCAGGGCTAGCCAGTTCTGGGGGCGAGGCAAGCATCCCAGGGGGCGCCGCCCACGGTGAGTGTCCCGGGGGGGGCGGAGGGCGATGTCACCACCCCCTTCCTCTGCCAGTGGGTGTCGGAAGCTGAAGAGGTAACATGGTTTATTGTTCAGGAAGAGGCTGTGGCAGAGGGAAGTCCAAAATCAGAATCTGAAGCAGGAGAGGAGGGAGGCCAAGAGGCAGAGATGAGTCAGGCTGGTGAAGAAACGCAGGTGTCCCCCTCTCCTGCTGCAACAAGCTCTCCTCCCCACAGTCTCCCAGGACCAGAAGAGGTCTGAAGACAGAGGAGCAGAGACAGGCGTGCCAGCATAGTTTCAGATTGCTTGGGAAGGACCCGGGGGGAGGATGAGATTCAGACAGCTGTGGGAAGGCAGGGACCTTCAGCCTCCACAACTGCCTCATAGGGGCAAGACCTACTGAGAAGAGTTGCTGTGCTCATTAGGCCTGGCTCCCCTGAGCAGGCCTTGCTTCTTCAAATAAAGAGTAAACGCTACGTACTCTGTGTGATTTATTGCTGATTTATGGCTCCCTGACAGGTATGCCTGTATTAGGATTGTGTATTTTCAATGTGCACTATTTTCCGATATTCTATTCATTCTCAGAGATTTTCATACCTGAAATTTTAACTTACAAGGCTGCCTGTATCATTAGAGACAACTTGCTTAGAGTAGCTGGCATGGGAGAGGAGCAAATTAATTCCCTTCCTTCTCCTATGCAGTGTGCCAGTCAAAATCCCCGGTTGCTTTTAGCAAAAGAAAAATATATTTGGAGATCCAGCCAAGGATCTTCCACAGGCTATGTGATTTGACTCTAATTCTCATCATGACACACACACACAGCCCAGGCTTTCTTAAGAGTCATACCTGGTGTTCTAGAACACCCAGAAGTACTATGAAGGGCAATTGTCTGTTTCTATGGCAATTTCATGAAGGTTCTTCACATGAAGGGGAGGATAAATCCCTGCAAACGGAGATGGGTTCTGCCTGTTCAGAATTCCATCTTCTCCTTAAACTGTCCACAGCCCTGTTGACAGACAGCAAGGAAATATCCTGCAGAAAACACTGTTGCCCACATCAGTTAAATCTCCAAGGGCAAAAGAAGGTGAATTAGCACTCAGTGGCCATTTAAGAATTGTTTTAGTTTATATTCGTTTTTTCCTCTGTTTCATGTGCTGTGTAGTTAGTTACCTGACTCTTTGGAAGTTGGTGGCTGATTCTGGGCAGGGGTTTAATACTGTAAACGGATCACTTAGATAGTGCAAACTGGTAATCAGCAACACAAGGTTTTCTATTTATTTATTTACTGGGTTTCTCCCAGGAAAGGTAAATCCAGATTAAACAGAGGGAGAAATACAGGCTGGTATTTTGATGACGACAACTATGCCATGTGGAAGCTACAAAAGATCTTGGATGCATGAAGTGCCCCTTCCCACAATAAATGGTGGCCACTGTGAGAACAGGATGCTGGACCAGATCAGCAGCTGGCAGTAGGCACTTCTTATGCAGGAGAGGCCTAATTCTTCCATTCTTCGTACTTCTATCTCCAATACAACCCAGATAATACAATGAGACTCTACTGAATTGGTAACAGTCATGTTAATAGCTAGCTATAGATCCTGCCAGCTCAGTGCAGGGTACAATAGAGTTACCCCAAGTTTCCCCCCAGGAGGATGTATCCAACCTAACCTTTACACAAATTCGCTCTGTGTTCTTCATTTCTTAGGCTTTAGAATAGACTGCCATCATGAGTAATGGAGGTTGGGTGGGCACATGGAGGCCCCATCGTCCACGAGGACCAGTCATGGCCCAGTATTCCAGCCCTGGGCCCAAGTACAACATACCGGGAGCAACAGGTAAGCAAACAGAAACAGAAGTATAGTGGGGTTTAAAAAGTTGATTAAAAAAAAAGGGGGCTGGGCAGCAGGAGCAGTCTGCCAGGCTGGCCCACCTCACAGAAATTGATCAGGGGTGGGGGAGCTCCATATTCCGGTACCTATTTTCCCTTTGGGGGCATGTAGAAACTTGAAAACTCTTAGAGCTTGGGTCCCCTGCTGGCTCTTGGCTGGGGACACCAGTCCCCTCTGTACCCTGTCCCTCTCAGCTGCCCTGGTGCCCCACAACTAGAAATGACCGAGATCAGCTGCATCATCATAGGAGAACATATCTTCCCAGGTTCGATCCCTCGCGTCTCGGACTAAATGATCTAAGGAAGCAGGGCCAGGAATGTCCTTTGTCTTTGAGATACTGGAGAACTGCAACCAGTCGGAGGCAACGCCTTACTCCTGAGCTCTGTGTCTGTCCTTTTTCAGGTTATATCTCGCACATCCCTACCAAAAGGAAAGCCCCTGCCTACAGTATGTATGGCGCAAAGCCCCCATCCAGCAAAGACAGAGTTCCGGGTCCTTATGATGTGCAGGGCTATATGACAAACAGAGGAAGGCAATCGGCTCCGTCTTATACAATGGGTGGTCGATTCAGAGTGAAAAAGGAGGTTACCCCAGGTCCTGGTGAGTAATAGTCACCCATCCAAGGTATATGTTGACGGCATCTGCTAACCCAAGACTAAGGTAGAGTTTGGGTGCATCGTTCCAAAACTGGCCTTTGGAATGATTTCTTATGGCTACGTTGAAAAACATGGCGGTGTCATCCTCAGATTAAATAATCCATATGAGTTGCTTGCTCAGACAGAGACTGGACTGATTCTGTTTGTTCAGTTTCTTTTTTCTTTTTCGTAAATTTATTTATTTGGTTTTTCAGTTTAAAGTTTTACAATCAGATATCCAACATACGTCATAAGGTTCCATAGAATCTCCTGGACTTCCCTCCTCCCCTTTGTGGGTCCTATCCTTAATCATTTCCTCCTGCATCTTTTATAGTAATCCAACTGTTTGTTACATTTCAACGTGCCTGATTATTTTTAGAGAATAAAAAAGCTCTGTCAAAGGCTGCATCTGGATGTTTGTCAAAAGTGTCCTTGAATCTTGCCACAACATCAGGCATATCTCGTATGCTACTGTTGGCTTTAGGTTGAATTTTGTCTTATTTCTCAGTTTAGGCTGCATTTTGTCTTGTTTTTTTGGTTGTATTTTTTATATTGTGCCATGTCAATTTTGGGTAAGCTGCTTTGGGCAGAATCCAAAGAAGTTTTTCCACTAGTGCAGGAGTGGGGACCATATATTGACCCTCCATATATTGCTGAACTACAGTTTGCATCGTCTCTAGTCACTTGGCCCTGCTTGCTGGGGCTGATGGCCGTTGTGGCTCAACTAGTTCAACTAGCCTAAGGATTTCCACTTGCTCCCTCTCCTCTCCCTGCATGCCTCTGCACCCTCCCAGGGCCGGCTCACAACATTTTGGCATCTGAGCCAGGCCCCAAAATGGTCCCCTGCCCTGCCTGAGAAGAAGGGGTGAGAGAAAATCTATATCCAAAACGGCGGGGGGGGGGGAATATCAGCATTAGGTTCTGCTGCCCTGGCAAATTCAGCCACCTGAGGCAGTCACTTCACCTCATTGGCCACAGAAGGGACACCCAGTTTCCTGCCAGCTCGTAGGGACATAGATACTTTTTCATCCACCGGTGCATACACCCTTTGTACCAGGGACAGTTCTGTGGCACAAATTTGCACAAAACACACACTTTTTTGGCATCCTTCTGTCTAGAGAGACAATGGAATGCTCCTCAAGGGGTGAAGTCAAACTGCCAGAGAATCACAGCGCCTGCTGTGGCTGCAGAGACCGGTAACTCGTAACTACTGCCTCCTGTGCTGTTTTTGCTGCATTAGCAGCACCACAGTGACCTCCCTGGGGTACAAGCCTGGGCAGTGTGTGTGGAGGTCCTGAGCTGCCCAGAAAACAAGACCCACCCCCTCTCAGCCTCAGTGATGTGGTCCAAAGGAAGGCAGAGCAATGCGTTTGGCACCAGCTTGGCTGCAGGAATTGCCAGAAGGAGGCATACAAGACGCCGTCCAACCATCTTAGGGACTCCACTCAGGATTTGTGTGGTGTTTCCTCCTTAGCCTTTTCTTCTCCCGAAAACAAGGCAGTGGGTATGTATATGCATAAGGTAATTTATATGGAGAAACTAAGATGGTGAGTGGCTGGGGTCTTACAAGCACCACACGGTGAAGAAGGCCCGAGTGCCATAGAATTAAAGTTAAGAACAGGAGATCCAGAAAACACCTGTTGTCTCTGCAACTCCCAATAGCATCCCTGCTTCCCACAGTACGTTCTATTCCTTCTGTATCTGCTGTTTTATATTCATCCAACCGCGGTCTCATTTGCAATCAGAATAAATCATGCAAAATGTACATTCATCCTGCATTTTAATTCACAGTCAAAATGGGATGAGGGATTTACCCTCCCTGCACGCAGAATGTTAACTTTTTAATTAACAAAACTGTAGACAGCCCTTCAGAGGCTTTAGGACACGGCAGTCATTTTGGCATGGTGAAAGATGAGCTTTAATCTAATTGCATCCATTGCCTTCCCATCTACCTAGCCTCTTACTCACCAGAGAAGTCACGGAAAATAATTTATCAAAATGCTCCTGCACATTCTATGTCATTCAGGACTCGTGGTTACAAGGTAGACGCCACACCAGGTAAGGCTTATCCCTTATGGTTTTGTTTTTTGCTTTGCTGTTGTTGTTGGAAGGCATCAAACATAGGTTGTCTTAAGAAATCTATCAATGATGAAACACAGCGCATTAGCTCAGGTCTATACATGTTTACTTGAGAGCAGGTTCAGCAGGACTTACATGTGCATGTTTAAGCCTAGGGGTGTAGTATTATGCTTTTGCCATTCAGAAAGGTCTTCTCTCATGGTGGTAAGGCTGTGGGTGGCTGGCATCATGCTAACCCGGTATTATTAGCTTGCTAAGATATCACCATTCACAAATTACGAAAAGAAGAGCGCCTAGCCTTTGCAGTTAGAGGATAGACTTGGTGGAAGTGGGAAATAGCTTTTTATGTTTTGACCTGTGAACTTGAGCGCTGGAGAGAATGTGCACATGGCCTCTGGAGGAAAATAAAATTAAGAAAACTCTTTTTGAAATGGAGGAGGCTCTGAAAAGCAATTTCTGAGATACTGTATTGCGATGGTTCGATGTTCTAAGACAGGTGTGGGGAACCTTTGGCCCTCCAGAGGTAGCTGAAATACAGCTCCCATCAACCCCAGCATGGCCAAAGGCCAGCGATAATGGGAGCTGTAGTTCAGCAACATCTGGCAGACCAATGGTTCCCTACACCTCCTCGAAGGAAAATGGTCAAAAGTTTCCTAGGTGGTATTCCTGAGCACTTAGGCCAACCTGAAGTAGCTCTTTGGATCCCAGCCATTACCTCCCTCCTCCTCTGGCTCTGCTGGAAGTCTCTGGTGCTCCTCCCAATGGTCCCCATGTTCCTCTTTCAGGTCCCAGCGCTTACACGATGCCTGAGGTCCTTGGACCGCACACAGTGGCCACCTCCGCCGGCCCTTCTTACTCCATGACAGGGAGGAGTAAGCTAGGGCGTTTTGATGAAGACTTGCATAAGGTAGACTGCTGCTTCATTTCATGCCTTGTTTCTCTGTTGGTTACCAATAGTCAAAGTTGTGCCTGCTCTGGTCCATTTTTCTGAGATTTGTTTTAATCTTGATTTAATGCATACTGCTGGTTGCTAGTGCCAAAGAGCCAATTTATGCTCTTTCATGGGGGTCTGAATGCTAAAATTATTCATTCAGGAGCAGATAGAAATCTGGCTGTGATGCACTGTTCACTCTTGCCATTTTACCAAACTTTTTGCAACGCCTTTAATCTTGTTTTACCCCTACTTTTTAGCTTCAGTTGTGCAACATCTTTTACTCTAATTTTCACGTGTCCTTAAAAAAAAAAAAAAGCAACTCAATGACAGGTCCTATTTTATATTTGCTTTTTTATTTTACAACTGCACTGATAAATCATTGGGGAGTGGAAGATAATTAGTGAGAGAAGTAAACCGTTGCCACGGTAGAAACTATATTCAATGTGTTTTTGGTGTAACACAGGGAGCTGCTCAATTTTCCTGGGAAATTAGGAGATATGGATTGTATTGTTACTTCATCTATGGGATCCTGTTCCTTCTCTTACAGACCCCTGGTCCTGCTGCATATCATAAGCCTGATACAGATATCTACAAAAAGAGAGCGCCCAAGTATTCTATGGGCAGTCGAAGCAAGGGTCTAAGAGCTGGGAAAACACCTGGGCCTGCAGACTACAGTGTAGGAAAGGTGAGAAGCAGCTTCCTTTCATTCTTAATTGTTTTCAGCAATTATTACTCCCATGTACGGATATTCTCCTTTCCTGGCAACAGAGCCTGAAATCGTGGGATGTGAGGAAAGGGAAATGTTTGTCCTAATATTACAGAAACAGAAGTTAGAAGCTGGTCATAGGTAGCTTAGCAACCCTGTTCATTTTTGTTAGACGTAATTACCAAACCATCAACTTGTTCTGGCCCATGCAAATAACTACTAGTGATATTCTTTATCTAGATTGGTCCATTTGTCACACGGGTCTGATTGGGACATCACATTTCTGCTTCAAGAAACCATGGTTTGTTGGCTCAGGAGCAAGCAATGAGTTGGAGCAGTCCCTCCTCTCCTTATGCAGCTGGCTGTCAGAGAAACTTTCTGTATTGTTGAATGACAGTTTGCCATGATGTCTAAAGTATAGCTTTAAAGCTCTCTACAAGCCAGGATTGTAAACCGAGAACAACCAGTGGTTTGCAATCCTGGTTTACATGGTGTGCTTAGACCAATTTCCTGGCTTGGATGTAATGCAAACTATAGTTTAACAAACCAGTCTCTTCTGCTGCCAAACACATGGTTTGACAGACTGGGAACATAGTAAGACTACTCAGTGGCGGAGGAACCTCTCTGGCACCCGGGGCGGGACACCAAGGGGCAGGGCAAACCGCCCAGTGGCAGACACGCGACATCTGTACGGACTGCGCATGTGCGGCAACCATACAGGATGCCACACATGCGCAGTCCGTACGGGCAGCTGCTCTCGTGCGAGGCAGCCTGTACGGTCGCCATGCGAAAGGCAGCCTGTACGGTTGACCGTATGGATGATGCGAGAGAGCGACAGCCCGTATGAACGCTGCGCGAGCGGCGCCCTTACTGACTGCGCGCACCCTCAGCTGCTCTACAGCTGGGGGGAGGCAGGGGCCATCTTGTCAACCCCCCCAAGTGGAACCCAGGGCGATCCGCCCCCCACTTCATACGCCCCTGAGACTACTACAGGTGTGTGCAAAGCAGTTTGGGGGTTTTGTGAACTGGTGAACATGAAAATCGCATGAAATTTTGTTTGCAAGTGTGTGCTGCTGGATCTTGAAACTGTACACACTCCATTTCCAGAATCAACCATGGTGCTACTTAATTGCATATGAAGTTACTCAGACCAGAAGAAACAAGATGTTGAAATTACTGTTTATCTCCAGGGGTCCACAATGCCCAGGATATTCATCTAGCTCCTCCAGCAGTATTTCACGAAACACTGCCCCAGTTGTGCTCTGCAATTATTAATTATCTGTACTTAATTCTTCCACTTAACATTCCATTTAAAATGCTTCTTACTCAGTAAACCAGCAGGAAGCAGCCTGTTCTGTTAAGCAGAACACAGAGATCAAAGAACAAAATGAAGAATCTGTTAGCAGAAGCCTAGCCTGTTTCACCTAATATATTTTACACTCCTTCTGCTTCTAGGTATCATTGCTCAAATCTTGTGCTCCAGTTGTCACTTTTGGAATCAGACACTCCGACTACACAACACCTCTGATTGTGGACGTCTGCTGAATTCATCCCTTGTACAGAAAATGATTTTTCTACTGATATTTCTATATCATGTTCCTCCACATTTTAACAGTTAACCACCAGCTGTTTAACTGCATTTTTTTACAAATACCAGAGCTAAAGGACCATTTAAAATATTCAGAAACTGATTACCATTCAAGACTGAAGTTCTGTCCTCTGATGAAGGGATATGCCATAAGCCCCTCTTGTGAGGAAGACAAAGCGCAGCTCACACTTGCCCTACTCTTTGAGCACATGGAATACATATCTAAATGCATGTCGGCATTCTGACAACTAGTATACAATTAACGGTGTCATTCTTCATAAAGTAGGATCCAATATATATTAAATATATATATGTATTTGTGTAAAAAAGCTACTTGTGTTCCTGATCCAGAATTATTTCATGGAACTTGTTTGTTGCAATAACTCACATAAAAAGTATTTTGTATATTCCATATCTTCAGCTGAGAAACGTGTTTTGAAATAAATAAATAAATCAGGAATAAAATGTTTATTTCATGTCCTAGCTATAAAATAAAACATCAGTTCTTTTGTAGAGGGTTCACTACTCGAAAACTGTAGGAATATTCTGAACTTGAAAAGTAGAATGTTAAGCTTTTTCATAGAGAACTGGCAGTAATAGTGATAACAATACTGCCTTGCAGCTCAGTCAGGATTCTCACCCATTAATACTGGTACAGCAGCTGAAATAATTGATGCTGTGAATGGTTGCATCCCCTCCTGCACAAAGGTGTTGAGGGGGAACCAGGATCTCGCCAGTTCCCCCTCCTTATCATCCTTTGTGCATTATATTTATTGTGTTCATCCTCAGAGCAACTCTGTGAGGAAAGTCATTTCACAGATGAGTATATGAGGCTGCACCTGTTTTCCCCCCAGGCTACACAATAAGCTCATAGCACAGATGAAATTTGTTCCAAGCCCTACTCTGTCCACTTGACCACAATTTAGACAGTAACTTTATTACGGCAAAAACTTTAATGGTATACAGTCCATAAAATCTGTTAAGTCTTTAAAGGTGCTACAAGATTGTTTTTGCTGCAAAAAGCAAATAAACTCACTTTCTTTCTCACCATGCTATAGCAACAGAATGTCAGTTGAGATACCTTTCAAAATAAAAGCATAAACTTCTTTATTTAGATTTATCTTTCAAAAGTCTCCTACCACATGATGTGGAATATCTGCGATCAGATCTCCCAATATCTTTTTAGGGCTTTAAAAGGAGAGGGGTATTTAACCCTTTCCCTTGACACTGAAACAGTTAGCCCTGCTTTGAGACAGCAAGGCTATCGGCTTTGGGAGGAAGCTTTTGAGCAGTATTTTTGCCCTGATCTTTTGGCCCCTGCCAACAACTTTTAAGGCTAGAACAGGAATGGCATGCTACGAAGTTTGTCTGGCTTGGAAGCCAACTGAGAAGTGTACTTTTAATTTTCTGGCATTAAAAAATGATAAATAAATCATACTGACTTTAAAGAATTTGGCATCTTTTGACAGCATCCCTGAGTTGAAGGTTGCTTAGCTTTTCAGTGACCTCAGGTTCCTTTTGCCCATTGCATTTTTAGGCGTACTGTACACCTAGAGATATGAGGTGAATATGACAAACATTATTGCAACCACATGTATCAGGACGGGTACACTAGTCTAAGAGCTACGATTCACTGCCTGTCTCTCTGGAGTATGCATTTAGGGGTTCACAAACTGGGGCTTGCCGCCTTGTCCCTCATTCAGAGGTTTTAGAAGACAGGCTCCTGGAAGATTTTTTGACTTGCCCTCAAAAACATGATACCGATCTAGTTAGCTCACTTGTTCTAAAGAAGCAACTATCTAAAGAAGCAACTATAACCTTGGGCAGCAGCCTCTATTGTCTTACATGCAGGAGCAAATATTTGCTTTTCATAAGAACAGCCAAAGGTTACTAAGAAAGACTTTAGAAACTACCTAGTATATATCCAGGACTGGCATGTTTTGCTGCCTGAGGCAAAGACAAGATGATGCTCCTTCCATTCCATGCAGCTGAATCTTACTTCACTACTAGCAACAGGATAGTGTCCTCTACTGCACCTAAGGGCAGCAGGCTGGTTTTTTGTTTTTTTTTGGCAGGTGGGGTGTGTGTAACATCCTGTGGCACAGCTGTGCTTTAACAGGTGAGGGCTGGAGGCTCAGGAACAGCTTGTGGGATTGTTGCTGCTATCTCCCTAGCACTTGCTGAGCTAACTGCCTCACTTTGCCTAATACTAGGTCAGGACCTGTATATATCAGAATTTATACTAGGGACAGGGATACAGGGGGGGGTGAAATACTGGCAAGTGTTTAAAATCTGTTTAAATTTTATTTTTAACTTAAAAACCAGTGTGAAGGTACTATTGCTATGGTGAGATGTTATAGAATAAACGAGAAACAAAAAAGCAAGAGTCACCCAAATCAAGCCAGGCTTTGAATGACAAAGATCAGCAATGTATCAACTAGACCTTGATACACAGCAGAACTGTACCAGAATCTTTCTTCTTTATATTATTTCAATTGTGACATAGTAAATTATGGAAAGTTATATCTGGGAAATTGGAACATCAGACCACCAGTTGAGAGATGAAAAACCTAGGCTGCAATCCTACACACACACACACACACACACACACACACACACACACTGATTGATATATATATATATCAATCACACACAAACTTAACTCCAGTTTTGCTGTTAATACCTTTCTGGCACTCCAGGTGCCAGAACCTAGTAACAAACATTAAAACTGAGGAGTATTGCAAAATGCTACTTGATTCCAGAGAGAAGTGGATAATTATTCAGCAGCCAGCTAAAGAAGACTTAACCAAGAATCAATGAATCAATAAAATTCTTTAACAGAAAGGATGATTTCGACAAACTTTTTAAAGCGAATATACTTTAACTTGCTATAAGGTAAGGTTTGTATAACAAGAAACAAATATAAATAATTTGGTCAGGGGACAGACTAGAACAAGAAGGGAAAAAATGAGATAAAATCATTTGTGCAAGTTCTCACTCTTCCTTCGTTTAGGAATATTCTCTGTTTTACTAAGCAAGTCCTTGAGAGTAATAGGCAAAAAGGATTGTTAGACTACTTATAAATGCTGGTGTTAACAAAAGTGGAAATAAATTCAAAGTTACTTTTCTAGGAAGAAGTTGTCCATATCACAATTAGTTCTCAAGAGATGCATCACTGTCCTCCAGGTAGTATTTTTCCATTTAAATTGGGCACTTGAACATCTCTGACATGGGTGTCAGGATTTTCCTGCTAACCACAAAATTATAAGAGGTGGAATAACCAGCATGCTTTCCCACCCAGACAGCAGAGAGAATAAGGTATTATATAGACTTGGTTTCAACAAGGATGTGAATTGTGCTGCATTTAAATTTTCAAAGAAACAGTGACAGAATAAATTATATTCTTTTTAAGAGAGCGCGTCAAAACAATCCAGAGATGATACTGAAATCCACAGAGGTGCCTCTGGATCACTGTCAACATTTGAATAATATTTTCAGGATCTGAAGATCTTCCAAAACCATTTTCATCATCAGTTTTTCCCCTCTTCAACAACTATCCAATACAAAATCTTGACAATTACTCAAGTCCGTGCTCTTGTCACCAAATAATAGAGGATGAAGAAGACTACAATCAGTCCAGCAGAGACGTAGCAAAGAAGTTTACGATTGTCTCTTCCCGACCGGGTCATAGTGGAGAAACGCTTCACACTCCCCGTCAGAAGGCCTGTCACACTCATGAAATCAGAATCCTAATGCAAAGAGTAGAAACAATAAGGTATTTAGAAGACATTGCTTACTGAAAGAAGCAACATGATTATATATACATATGGCATATTTCAGTGAGAGAAATATATTTAACTCAGTTAATTGAATTCCAATTTAATACTGTTAATATTTAAAAAGAAAACCCAAACAAATGCAGACACATGTGCTCAGATCCCACACCAGCAAAATACACTAGTGAAATTCAAGATTTGACCTTGTCAATAACAATTTTAAATGACTTTACTGCGTGCATATTTTGATCTCATTTATCCTTGCGATAACCCAGTGAGAAAATAAGACTTCTATGTGATCATTTTAACATGTGGTAGTCTGTGCAAGGTCCACACAAGGTTTGCACACTTGTTCATTCAGGTACTTCTTGCATAAGAAATTCAGAATATTTGACACGAACCTTACTGCATAAAATAGTTTCACAGCATATTTGCCATTAGATACCAGATCACTGAACACCAGTTTCTCAGGGAATCACTACCAACAGAAGACCAACAAGTTTGGTCCCTCTTGGAAAGGAAAAAAAGATACGTGTGCATGAGCATGTTCCAGAAGTAGAATGGCATGCTAAAACACATTAACTCTCTGGAACAGAGCTACTTACACCAATAGACTTGTGAGTGACTTCTTCTCTGTACAGAAATATGTTCCAGTACAAACTAATTGTCCTGTTTGCTCATGCTGAGCTTCATCAGTAATTCTTAAAGAGTGCAAACACTTGCTTACCATGCCATCCAAGTAGTGATTTTGATCCTCAGCATCTTTGTCAATGTCCAGTGCAAGCTATTGAAAACACAGAATGAAGCAGTTATTGACACCTAGACAACTTTCGGAAAGAACTAATAAAAGTGCAAACAAGAATATTATTTGCTCCTCAGCAATTCTCTGTATATTACTAAATACAAGGGGGTTGGGGACAAAAACAAAAACCCTCAAAGACCAAAGTCTTCTGGAGAGCAAGACAGCAATCAAAGAGCAAGGGCTCATCCAGACATCCTTTTTGCCCAAATGCCACAAATTTCCATTTGTTCCGATTCAGCATGAAAGAGCAAGTTTTCGATGGGGAAGTGCTGGGCCAAAAGAAAGAAAACATGTTCCAGTGATGACATTTCAAAGCACAGCCCTGTGCCTAGAAAGCACAGGGCAAAAGGTAAGTGTGGATGAGCCCCAAGTAAAGTAAGTAATCTACAAACCGATTTTAGCCGGGTGACTTTGGAGGCTAGGTTTTCGGTCATACGCTTGTTTTCCACATCTAACATATCATCCACAGCATTGGCATTCTGTCCTGAAATTAAGATAAAATAATTATGCCACTTAGTGCAGCTAAAACATAACAGCTGTTAAAAGGTAGTATGGTAAAATGTGTGGTTATTTTGCAGACCATCCCCTAGCTCACTCCAAAGCCTATTTTCACCATCACAGGGCACAGCAGGCTCCCCACTTGCTAGGTGGGATGTTACCCCACACTGCAGACACACACAAATGCCACCACCACAATAGAAAGCTACACTGGCAAAGCATGGGCAAAAAAGCTGCCACGTCCTTGCCCGTCAGTCAACTACAGAAGACACAGGAGCCCCGAGCAGGGGGGAAGGTGGCAACTGTGACCTGGGGAGGATCAGAATGCCTCCTTTGTTCCCCGTCCCCCACCCCCAGCACAGGCCACGGAGGTCCTGAGGCAGCACGACGAGCCGGAGCAACGGCGCCCCCAGCCCCGTTCTCCTGAGGGAAGGTGCCGCCGCCCGCTCCGGCGCCCCCTCGCCAGCCTCTTCTGCGCTCTCACCTCGCCCCCAGTCCGCCATGGCCGCTTCCTGCCTTCGTGTCCCGCTCCGCCCACAGAGAGCAGGAGGAGGAGGAGCGGCTCGGCTAGCCGAGGAAACTCCCCCCTCGGCCGCAGCGTCCCCTCCTGTCGGCCCTCCCCTCGGCTGGAGAGGGAGGCGGCCTCAAGCTGCTCTTGCGGAGGCTCGGGGCGGGGGCCGCGGCGCAATGGGAGTGGAGGCCTTGTCCTCGGCTGCCGCTGCAACGCCTGCTCTTCCCTCCTTCAGGAGAGCGGCCTCGTCGCCCTTGTTATTCGGGAACGACTTGGATGGTCCGCGGCCTCGGGCAGGATTGCCATGTAAGGGGCCCGCTCTGGCTTCTAGTGGGTTGCGACAAAGGCTCATTGGCTGAATTCCTGTCACACAGGTGTTAAAAGGGCAAGAAGTCGTTTAGAGGAAAAGGTGGCACTCCTTCCTCGCCCTTTTTTCCTGAGCAGTGCAAGTCTATAAGATTATTTATTCTTCCAAGTGAGCCTTGGAGCGTTTGGCAAACCAAATGCTAAAGTGTGACATTTTTATGCCACCACGCTCATACCTTCCAGGTTTTGTGCACTTCAAAAGCATGTCAAAGTGCAAGTAGATAAATAGGTACCGCTCTGGCGGGAAGGTAAACGGCGTTTCCGTGCGCTGCTCTGGTTCGCCAGAAGCGGCTTAGTCATGCTGGCCACATGACCTGGAAGCTGTACGCCGGCTCCCTCGGCCAATAAAGCGAGATGAGCGCCGCAACCCCAGAGTCGACCACGGCTGGACCTAATGGTCAGGGGTCCCTTTACCTAATAGCTTACAGAAACTTGTTTGCGTATGTAAACAATTTATGAGTATGTTAGTTCTTCCAGTTCAAATAATTTCTTCATGTGTTTTTCTTCATGTTAAATATACCGGACACTAATTTTGTTGTACTGGATACAATACATTGGCAAGAACTGGTATATAACTCCAAAAGAATAATTGGTAATTAAGGCTGGCATCCTGCATGCAAGTTGCTTAAGTTCCTTTGAAGGGAATGGGATTCTGGCTGAAAGCCCAAATACATTTATAAGGGGCAAGTCCAGTCTTGTCCAAAAGCACTTACCAACACACCAGGAGCAAGGATGATTTTCATATTGAGGGGCCAGATAACTTTGTGTTGTGATGGCTTACAGTGTAATCGCATGCAGAGTTGGTGCACCTACAGTAATTATTCATAAAATAACACAGCAGCAAGATGTTTACTTGCTCTGCTCAAAGACATTTATTTGATAAAATTAGCAGTTTCTTTACTAGAAAGGCAGCCTGCAACTACCGTATTTTAAATAAATAAATGTTTAGGTAAAGATAATGGTGAAGGACCCTTGGACAGTTAAGTCCAGTTGAATTCAACGATGGGGTGTGATGCTCATCTCTGCATGGGGTGTGATGCTCATCTCTGCTTTCAGGCTGAAGGATCTGGCGTTTGTCTGCAGACAGCTTTCCCAGGTCATGTGGCAAGCATGACTAAACCACTTCTGGCGCACAGAACACCATGATGAGTGCCAGAGCATATCTACTCATGCTGGTGTGCTTTCAAACTGCTAGGTTGGCAGGAGCTGGGACAAAGGGGAGTTACTCAGAGGTAAATCCCTTGTGGAACTGAAGTTAGTGAACTCATTCAAGAAAGTAGTCTAAAATGACATGTTAACTGACCGAAACACGATTGAGGGTGTGTGGTTTATATGTTTAAAGACAGTGCTTACATACCGTAGATAGGAACAGATAATATGGATTACTTTTCCCTTAGTGTAATAATCATAGAGAGAGGCATAGGCGCAAACTCCTAGAGGCCAAGGGGTATTTGGCCACCCCAATAAAATATTTGAGGGGGCCAGCCCTCAAATGGTGTGCATGCACTGCATCATGTGATTGATTATGGGGTGCAGGGCTTACCTCCCCCCCCCACAATATTTTATACAAGTTGCCCCCCTGGAGCGAGGGTAGTTAAATATTGGTACAATTGACTTTTTATGCTTATACATAGAAGAGTGATACATTTAAGTGTTTGTCTAGAATCTAGATTAATATTTATGTAGAACAATGATGTAGCAGTTATTCCTACCTCATTGATCTATGTCATTATTTATTAAATTTCTACCCCAGCCTTCATCTCAAAGAACTCCAGGGTGACAAACGCCAAAATCTTAAAACAATAATAGTAAGAGGATATACAAGCTTCTGTAAGTATCATTACAGAAGATTAAAGTATTATCTATCTAGTTAGTGAAGAAATAACAAGCTGGGTTAAGGGTTTCCATAAGTCTGTTATCTCCAAGAGAAAATCTCCAAGAGAAAATCCAGGTGATTTCTTTTTTACCCTTTGGATATCCAGTCTGTGGATGCTGGTTTGCCATTTCTGACTGCTGCCTGGGGAGCAAAGCCAGGAGTTGACTGTAGCCAATCATCTGCTCTGTGCCATGATTTCTCACTTCCCGTATGGTTTTGCATTCACCATTTCCCATCAGCCTGAAGACAGTTACTAAAAGGGGTGGAATTCCCAAGAGACCTGTTCTTTCTCTTCTACAGCCTCTGGATGAGCAGCCCAGCATTGTGGTTCCCCACTGCGCCCTCTGTTTTCTGCTAGCAGGATTTCCAGCAGAATGACAACAAAGCCGCTGCCTGCTCTTGAAAACTGCATTTGGTAGGGTTGGGGGAAGGAGGGAGAGTTGCTGTTTTCAGGAAATGAAGCAGGAAGTCTGATCGAAAACTGCACACACAAAAGGCAGCTTAACTAAAAAGAAGGTAACATTTCCCCCTCACCCTCTGATTAGTTTGGTATTTAAATTTCTGAATTCAGGTTAGTAGGACTAGCTAGGCATGAATTTATAGTGAAAATGATTTTTTTGCTCTTTTTAAAAAAAGGAAAAAATGGATATATAAACAATATTATTTTAAACCATTTTGGAGTCTGTCCTGTAGCTTGCATGTTGGATGACAGGCTGGGATATAGGTTAATGGGATATTTTACATTTCCCCCAGCTTGTGAATGTTTTCCAGAGGGATGTGGATGGCAGTAGGCTTTGATGGAGTTTAAAAGATTAACATAATCTATGTATATATGGCTTGCCTAAATAGAAACAGGTCTGACTTCAGCTTTACATTTTCATTCATATACAAAGGTTTGCATATTCTGTTTGATGCTGATCTTTTTTTCCAGTGTGTGCACTGGAAATGGGTGAAAAATAAACTGATATGGCTGTTTCTAAATTACAAAATCCTTGCATGTGTGTGGACCTGTAGTGGAAGTGCTAACTACAATCATTGTAGCAAGTACTGCCAGATGTTTCCTATTTCAAGGTATATACCTTATTAAAAATGCTTTGCTTTTGTTTCAGATTATCACAAGTCTATATAAGATAAAGGAAGTGATCTGTTTCGCAAGCTGTTACAAGCTAACTCATACAATCAGTTGAGCTATTGGCCTCATTCTTTGATAAACTTTCACTTGTTGACAATGCTTGATGTCAAAAAACTGTTTTGCAATTAAGAGCTAATTTATGCCATGATTCTATATTTTCCTTTTTAGTTCCCTTAGAAAATGGGTTACACCTTATGGCAAAAGATGGTCTGAATTATTTGTTGTAAACACAAAACTCGTGTTTCCACTCCATTGCAAACCTTCCTAATAGGAGTTGAATAACAGTATGCCAAATCGCAATTTGTACTTGAGACAAATGGACCCAGTTTGGGACAAATGGCCCCAGACAAATCTACCAGGGTGCTTGGAGAAATCAGGGGACAATTTTATTGTTAAAGAACTGGCATAAAACTTTTTGTACAGTGTTTAAAAGAGAATACAGGAAAACATACAAGCCCACATTCCCCACAAGATTTCAGGGATTTAGCAATAGAGACCTTGATCCAGCTCCAGTTGCGAGGAACTAGTTGCGTGATTGGCCCTGGGTAGGGACGTGCATTAACTATGTGTACAGAAGGCTGTTTATTTTCATGCAGTTTGTTTCTAATACTCTGGTTATGTTTACATCTCGGTCTCCACACATACATACCCCACTGTTCCAATGCCTGTAGCTCTGAGAGCTGATTAAATTTTGTATAAAAGACAGCTGAATTCTTATGAGATGAAGCATTTATGGATCCAAGGATGGTGGTGCTGTGCCAGAATTGACAATGCCTGCCTGTATCTGGTCATAAATATATAGCATCGTATCTCTTAGTTCTTTATTGGGATGTTGTTCTGTGCCATACTCTTTGCTGGTTTGCAAAGAATTCATAGCAAGTATTTAATTATGTCCATGTAAGCTGTAGCTCACAGCAATTTCACACTTTGTGGCAGCTGGGTAGTGTTTTCCTCAGTACACATGTAAAGTGTGAAGGTCAGGCACCTCTAAAAATGAGACGTGACTCTTAGATAGTACAACTCATCGCATTCTGGGAATGTTATCAGGCTTCTGTAATTCTGGCTTGCACATAATTTGCAACTTGCAGGAAGAGACATATATCATCATGATTAGCATTTTAGTTATGAAGGCCAGGATGGATTCTATAATGTAAATGGAATGCACTTGATTATAAGGCTGAGCACTCTCAAGATGGGACAGGCATGGACTTCTTGTTGCCTCTCCCAGCTTGTGTGCATGGCCTGCTGATCTCCCTCACCCTGTCACTGTGTGCTGACATCATGTGCTGTGATTAGAAAGACCACTGGAGGGAAACAAACATGGCCACACATCCTTTAAACAGTTGCCATGTTTGTTACTCTGTGGTAATTGAATGCAGATGATACATTTAACCAGGTTCATGTATTTGGATCTAACGGGAGTCAATTTAAAAGATACTCAGATCTGTGGAAACCTGACAAATGATTTTGCCACCTTAACCTAGATGGGGGAGTGTGTATGTTTGCCTACATTGTGCTATGTACATTTTTAAAATATATCACTGGGATGGTTCTAGGTTTTTCTGTGCTGTAACAGAAACCAGGACAGTTGGAGGAGGGAGGCTATTTCAGGGAGCTGCAGCATCCCTTCTGAGGTAATCCTCAGACTGGGGGAGGGGGAGGCTTTTGTAGGTGCTTTGCTGGGAGGGCATTTTTTAAAAGCTGCAAAGCTCAGTGAGGGAAGAGGATT